TTAAACCCACAACTATCCGACTTATCCTGAATTTGACCATCACAAAAAGTTAACACTTACGACAATTGGATATTAACAATGCTTCGTTACAAAAGACTCTAACTGAAGACATCTTTATGCAACAACCTTCTAGCTTCATCCATCCTCAGTATCCAAGATATATTTGTAAACTACACAAAGCTACTTATGGACTTCGACAAGCTCCAAGAGTCTGATACACCGAACTTGGCTCATTTTTGACATCAACTAGCTTCATCAACTCCAAGTCTAATACCTCATTATTTTTACGACAACAAAATGGAGGCACTATATATCTTTTGGTGTATGCTGATGACATTATTGTCATGGACAATAATCTTATGGAGATCAAGACATTCCTCCAACAATTAGCAAATCGATTCTCCCTCAAAGATCTAGGAACCTTGAGCTACTTTTTGGGAGTGGAAGCAATATATACATCGTCAAAACTCTTCCTATCGCAAAGAAAGTATATTTAAGATTTATTATTAAAAACGAATATGCATGACACAAAAGATGTTGCAACTCCCCTCTCTACCAGTGAATCACTCAAATTATACGATGAAAGCTCTGCTACGAACGATACTCTATATTGACAAGTACTTGGCTCCTTACAGTACTTAGCTTTCACTCGTTCAGATATCTCATTTATAGTTAATAAATTATCACGAGTCATGTATCGTCCATCTACTATGCATTGGTCTGTCGTCAAATGAATCTTGCGATATCTTAAAGGGACCCTCAATCATAGACTTTTTTCTTCACAAACACTCTCAACTTCATCTTCATGTATCTGTTGATACTGATTGGGTAGGAAACTTTGATAATAGAACATCCACGTCGGGGTATATTGTCTTTCATGGAGCTAATCCAATTAGTTGAAGTTCTAAGAAGCAAAAGACAATCGTATAGTCTACAACTGAAGCTGAATACCATGACATCGCTACCGCTGCTGCAGAACTCAATTGGGTCACAAATCTGCTCAAGGAACTTGACATCAACTCTACTCTTACTCTTACAATATATTATGATAATGTTAGAGCCACCTACCTATGCGCCAATCTAGTATTTCACTAACACATGAAACATATTGTCATCGACTTTCACTTCGTGCGAGATCAAGTGGTTAGACATTAACTACGTGTTTCTCACGTACATACCACTGATCAACTAGTAAACTCACTCATGAAGCTTCTCGTCCGTAAACTATTTTCATTACATCGGTCCAAGATTGGCATCCTTGATAGGAGCTTAATCTTACGGGGGCATAATAACATATAAGATTTCCCTAACTGCACGAGAGGCTTCGATCGACATCCTTGATAGGAACTCAATATATTTTCACCAAGTTTTGTAATCATGTTTCAATTTATCACTTAGGTTCTTACGAACTAGAGGCTCCGATCTTCTCTGAAAATAACATCGAATATATCATAAAGGAATCATAGAATTCATCTATAATAAGATAATTCTTAATTAACTCCGGTGAAATGGATAAATTTTGAAAAACCATTGGGCCAAGCAAAAGCTTGTGAATAATAACAAACTGCATGACGATAATGAGTGGAGAAAACAAAGAAATGTTTGAGTCTGTCATAGTACACGAACAGCTTCCTTCCATGCTTTCTTGAATCCTGATATATATTCCTCGTAATATTCCAGAAGATTACATTAAATCAAATTCCATTTTGGAGCATTGAGACCCCTTCCACATAGGACTACTGTCAAAACATGTCAATTTTATTATAAGATAAGCTTATGATATTATCTGGTATGTTATACAAGTTTGTGGAGAAGGAAAGTTCTACAAGGTGAATGCAAAGAAAATAAGGTGGCTCAATGGAAGATTTTATAGCTTTGGGATAAAGAATCATTGTAGGATGGGCAGTGCACATATTATATTTTCAAATTAATGGTAGAGGTTATTTGCAAGAATTTGATGAGTTAATTACAGTAGCAAGCTGTGATATCATGTCATAGTTTATGAAAAAAGGATTTTTTTTTTTTGGGGGGTTCTCTTATTAAATTGAAAATAAGGGATGAAAATATTAGGTTATATTAAATAAGATAATAAACTAGAATTAGTAATTGAGCAATTTCCCAAAAACAAAATCTTCCTTTTTGCTTTTTTTTCCCAAAAGGTGTCGACTGTTTTTGTTTTGCCAAGATGATGTTCCGAATAATGCCCAAAATACCCACACACTACACCCACCCAATTGTATTGTTCTGATCATGAAGACACCCTATGGATCAGAGCATTAGTCAAAGTGGATGGATCAGACATAGTGTTTTTAAGTAGGCTATACAATGATTTTATCGTTGTGGCTAAAACATTGTAATAAGCTAATTTTTTATCCTCATTTGGGTGATTATTTTTAAACTATCATAAATACATATTTGAATCCAAGTATAGTATATCAAATTGTTTAGTGTCTTTTTTATTTCATTTGGCTCACTTATAGTATTTTCCAATAGCATTACAATATTTTTGTTAAATTGAAAACAAATTAAGTCATATTGTTTCTTTTGGTTGTCATTGCTTGTAGACCATTTTGATAGCAACTTTTTAGGCTTATAATTGGTCTCATTTCTGTGACATTCCTAAATATCCGAATACTACATATTAAATGGTTTCTATTGTGTTTTGATTTCATTTGATTTGTATTGTTTTTCAGTAGCATTATAGTGCTTTTGTTGAGGTGCTGAAAACACTATAAATTGATTGAAAGATATTGTATATGACATCATATTGTTTCTTTGGTTTCGGTTGCTTCTAGACCATTATAATATCAAATTTTTAGACTTATAGTTGGTTTGGATAAGATTAAAAATCCATTTGAGTCATATATATCAAGTAGGCTTTACAATGTTTTTTTATCATTGCACCCTATGGATCGGTGGTCCATAGTCTCTAAGATTATCGAGCATAGTACAATTGGATATAGTATAGAGATATTTTGGGTATTATTTGAAATTTGGGGCATCATTTAAAAAATTAAAAATATTAGTACCTTTTGAAAAAAAAAAAAAGGTAAAACGAGAAGCTTTTTAAAGGGAAATCACCCTTAGTTTTTATATCTATAATTGTATTTTACAATTCTATATGACAACTTGTATGGTATTAAAGATGAGCTAGTATTGAAAATGACAAGAGGCTTGAGTAGGAAATGATTACTCATGAATGAGATTGAAAATGATTACTTATGATGACTCATGTCATGGAACATGATGACTTGTAGTCATCATTGGATTGGGTCTGAAGAGCTAGGATGTAATTAAGTGATGGAGATTATTCCGACTTAGTCTTATACCAAAAAGTGAGAGAAGATTTGAATGGATTTATAAGAGTTTAGATAAGTCTTCTATCATTAACTTAGACTTAGTTTTGAATGAGATCAAGCTTAACAAGTTAATGGGATCCAATGGTCGGATCATGATTAATGGTATCAGAGTTGACCTAGTATTAAGATTAATGATGGATTATACATGGATGGGTTTGAAGGCATGTTATGATGTGTTTCATGCCATTACCAATTTAGGTCTCAGGTCATTAAATTAGGTTAAGTATTTTTGGGTCATTAGGTCGGACTTAGTTAAAGCTCAATAAGTTAATGAGTTAATTAACCCAGTGCGACAAATAAAAAATAATATGTTAATAAGAGTTCTTGCTTAGTAATAACATGTTAACAAAAATAAAAACTAATTTTGGATACCCATAATAACGATCATTCAATTATGGAAAAAAAGGTGGTTAATCATGAATTATCTATCAAACTAGTTATAAGATGAATAACCTAAGATTAATGAGGGCAAAAAATGATCCATCGTCTTCTTGTAATTATTGCTTTCCCTCGCGACTCGGAGCCAAGGGAGGGGTTTCCCACCTGTGTAACCTGATAATTAATCAAGATTGAATTTTATATATATATATATATATATTCTCGGATGAAGGCTTTATTTTTGATATCTTGTTCAGGAATCATACTTTCGAATCCAATTGCAGGTTTAACTTTTTGATGGAGTATTCCTCCTACATGGTGATTAACATCTATATATATGATAATTCATATGATGTATTTAGGTTGGCTGGCATTGTCAAGGTTCATTTGACCCTAGGAATGATGGTCAAAGTTGGCTCCTGCATTTCCATGTGTAGCTTATCAAGTCTTAACTAATATCATGCCATGCCATGCCAGCACTAGTTTCCTGCCTCCTAACTTCACTATGGAATCTAGAAATATATTAAAATAATTCGCAACCTACTGGTTGGATAAAGGTGGAATGACTTCAACTTAAAAAGGAGACCAGAGATATGATGATAGCTCACACAAGTGGCCGGAGAAAGAGTCCAAATCCATCTTCGCCGTATCCGGCAAGCCAGAAGAAGCCTTCCTTAGGTGGCGTACGTACACAGCCAATCAAAATATGAATTTGACCATTATTAATTAGTTCGTCACTAGCTAATAATCATCTCTGCGATGCAAGTCTCTCCTTACTCTTCTACGAGAGAAGACTACTACAAGTCTTTCTCCCTCTGTCGTCACAAGAAACGAAGAACTGTAGGTAGTCACCCACCCACAGCCATATTATAGCGACGGAGTCAAAAATATGTGACATCTTCTGATATTAGACCTTGTGTTCTTCCCCCCCTTCGTTGTCAGGACATGTGGAAACTTAAGTTTCGGGTGCCATCGACAGTGAGACCACCAAGCGAACGGGCTCCATTTTCTATGGCTTGAGCGTGGACGCTTCCATTTTGCCATGCTTGTTGGATTCCATTTGGGTAAGTGGACTTGGACCTCTTGTGGACCCGATGAGTCTTCTTTAATTTGTTTTTCCCCACCCCACCGGTAGCCAGCCTAACAAGAAATGTGATTGAGAGAGAGAGAGAGAGAGAGAGAGAGAGAGAGGGCCATTTCTTGAAGCCTTCCCCAACTTGAGTAAACAAAGATATTTTCGTGTATTATATATATATTCCCACAACCTTTGGCCTCCCTCCACAACCTCTTTCTTCTTGGGTAGTAGACATCCATGGCTGCTTCTCTTTCCTCAAGTTTCCCCTCCTCTGCTGCTTACCTTCTTCTGATGCTTACTCTTGCTGTATGCTCCCATGTCGGAGGAGAACAAGAAAGCCATCGAAAGGTTGACGTCCGCTCTTTGTTCCCGGACAAAGTGTGTTCACCATCCAAAGGTGTAATAACTATCTTATTTCATTCGATTTTTGACTAGTACGTAGTAATCATATCATAGCTTATATTTTATGCATACATATAATATGAGAAAAAGGAAGAAACTATATATCAAGAGGTACTCACTCACTCACTCGTACGTCGAAAGATGGTGGTGGGGGAATCCATTGCCACCGATCGCTCATAGAATAGATAGAATTGTGTGGTTCCTCCGTATGTGAAGTCATCCTCACTAATAATTGGTCTGTATCTGTCTCATCATCGCATAGTAACGTAGTTGACGCTTACTGACTGAATTATTGGATCTGTGGAACACGATCAAAATATGATATGAAACATGTATCCAAGAAAGGCGGTCAACGTCACCTTTGACTAATCAATCTTGTCTTCGTCCAGGTACCGCCAGCTCCAACTTCACGAGACTGACGGTAGCTCACCGGCACGGCCCATGCTCGCCGCTGCACCACCGGCAGGTCCTCTCCCACCAGCAAATCCTAGAGCGAGATCGATTCCGAGTCGACTGGCTCCACCGGCAGATCTCCTCCTCTCCTACCTCTGCGACAAAGGTGAAGGTGCAACCGCAGGATTCGGCGGTGGAGGCATCGGCGATCCCAGCCCGAAGCGGCAGCTCCCTCGGAGTCGGGAACTACGTCGTGACGGTCGGCTTCGGCACCCCCAAGCGGGACCAGACCGTCGTCTTCGACACCGGCAGCGACGTCACCTGGATCCAGTGCCAGCCATGCGCCTCCTACTGCTACCTGCAGCAAGATCCCATCTTCGACCCCTCTCACTCGTCGACGTACGCCAACATCTCCTGCGGCTCTGCCTACTGCTCCGACCTCGACGTCTCCGGCTGCAGCTCCTCCACCTGCCTCTACGGGGTGAAGTACGGCGACAAGTCCTACACCATCGGCTTCTTCGCCGAGGAGAAGCTCACGCTGACTGACGCCGACGTGATTCCCAATTTCCGGTTCGGGTGCGGCGAGAAGAACCGTGGGCTCTTCGGTAGGATCTCGGGGCTGATGGGCCTCGGCCGTAACAAGGCATCGCTGGTCGTGCAGGCGTACCAGAAGTACGGCGGGGTCTTCGCCTACTGCCTGCCGTCGACGTCGAGCTCTACGGGCTTCTTGACATTCGGCAGCGGCAGCTACTCGTCCTCGTCCAACGTCAAGTTCACGCCGATGCTGACCGACGCGAGCTCGCCGTCGTTTTATTTCTTGGACTTGGTAGCTATAAGCGTCGGCGGGCAGCGCCTCCCGATATCGGCCACCGTCTTCTCCAACGCGGGCACGATCATCGACTCCGGCACGGTCATAAGCCGGCTGCCTCCGACGGCGTACTCGGCGCTCCGGTCGGCCTTCCGACAGGGGATGTCGAGCTACAAGGCGGCAGCCCCGGATTCCTTACTGGACACCTGCTACGACTTCACGGGATACACCACGGTGTCGATACCGACGGTGGCCTTGGAGTTCAGCGACGGTGTGACGATGAACCTGGACTTCGGGGGCATCCTCTACGCCCTGAGTCAGTCGCAGGTTTGCCTGGCCTTCGCCGCCAACAGTGACGATGGTGACCTGGGGATAGTGGGAAACGTGCAGCAGAGGACGTTCACTGTGGTGTACGATGTCTCGAAGAAGGTCATCGGATTTGGGCCGGGAGGCTGCTAAGGGTCGAAGTTGCTCTGGTATGAATAGAGAGAAGAGAGAGAGAGAGAGAGAACGCTCGCTGCTCCAACTCTTCAATGATTTGCCATCTCTAGCTTATAATAATATCACAAGAAAAGAGAGCTTAACCTCTCAGCCTCTCCTTAATCGATTGAACGCAAACTTCTTCTGGTGATTTCAAAAGAAGAATAGTAATTGTTTCAAATGGCAAACTCGGAGTGAGTGTCGTTGCAAACGATCGACTACTGTATGCGCCTGTGTTTAACCTGAATAAGCTGGGTTCTTAAGCTGCATTCCTTCACCTAACAAAGACCAAGCAGCAATAAACATAGGTTAAACTTCTGTTGCCAGATCCCGGAGGCAGCTAGCTGCTCCAAATAGTGTGTGATTCTATTCTAGTGCTCTTCCAAGAAAACAATTGCAAACCTGCAACACATGTGCCTCTGATAAAAGATTTCCACATTCGTCAACCAAAACCCTTTGAGTACTGATCACACTTGCCAGGCCCGAAGCTACATGATCGACATCTTCAGCCTGTAATAAGAGTCAGGAGTTATTAACTATCAGAGGCTAGCAGGATAAATATATCCGAAGCTACATGATGTGATATATTCAGCCTGTAATAATAAGAGTTGGGAGTTATTAGTATCAGAGGCTAGCAGCATAAATATAAACATGATAAGACATCAAAAGGCAAAATCCATTGTATTCTGATCCATATCTTCAGCCTCTCATAGGATAAATCTATTGTATTCTATGCTCTATATGTGTTAGTCTTCAACCTCTAAATCCATTGCATTTAAATCTTTCTATGTACAAAAACACAAGTTTGGCATTCAAGAGCAATAACCTTAGGTGCACAAATCACTAAAGAACAGCAAGGGGGGTACATTGTGCATGTTAAAGATATGATATATGTTGGAATACCAATACGCGACAAAGTTCCCTAGATGAACGAATGAAGCGTTCAAATTCTTTTCTTGCAACAATTCAGCAACCTCACCTTTGATAGAAATCTCGCCACACACGGAGACAGTAATTCCAGCATAAGTAATGCAGAGTCCATAACTTCCCTAAGTTCACGAGTATCTACCTGCAATTATGATAATGTAAGATCTCATAATCAATCCATTAGAAGGGGGGGGAAATGAAAAAAGAAAACAAGATCCAGCAACTCTATTAGAGGATGATTAATCTAAAGGTGTCATACCCTCACATTCCCCGCAATCGGGAGTCGAAGTGAAGCATCCTGCAAAGCCTTTGTTGCCCCTAAAAGAGAGCTTGAATAATCATCTTCAAGAACGGTCCACTCGTCCAAATGTGGCATCTACAAAATAGAACAAATTATGATACTAGGGCATGCTTAATCATCCAATATATATATATATATATATATATATATATATATATATATATATATATATATGATCTTGAACATGATAGTGGGATAGTTTTGCTGGTAGCATGAGAAAGAATCCATAGATCATACTGTTCTATCTCCTTAACATAATCTAAAACTCTATCTGAAATTATTCCTCGTGAAGAGGAAATTATTCCAAAATTCACTCACAAATCCCAAAAATGAAAGAATAGAAAAAAATAATTTTTTTGCCTATTGCAAACAGAAAAAGCTCAATGAATCATGAAATGTGTGGCTCATCCTCATTTTGTGGCATTAAACCCTTGCATATGAGAGGAGAGACATCCAACTCAGATGAGAAAATTGATATCCACACATGAAAATGTAGCAGTATCATAATAAGATCCAGTCTTACTTGATGATGGATGATGGACAATAACCTCTCTCTTCTTTTGAGCTGTTCAAGCTGGATCCTCTTCTCCATAACAGAGCTTTGAAGCTCTGCAATCCTCCCGGAAAGCCCACACAGTGATTTCTAAAAAGAACTCAAACTGTTCGGTATTTGTTCTGTAATGGACAAGAAACCAAATCTAATTGCCATTGCAACCTCCACACTCACTAACCTGAGCCGCAACTCCCCGAGCTTCCACCGTCCCCCGAGCTTTCGCATTGAGAAATCTCCACTGCACATAGCAGTTGTCGAGAAGCCTAAGCACATGGGCGTCCTCCTGTCGGCCCAGTGCCTTGTTCACCTTCTTCACCTCGGCGGCTGGTTTAGCACTCGGAGGTTGTGGTGGCTTCGACGAGAAGAGAGGCCTATTGACGGACTTGCTCAAATTGAAGGGGTGCTGCTGTTGGCGGCCGGAGAAAGCCGAGCGCAAGAAAAGCGAGCTGGTAGATGATCTACAAGAAGAGACCTCGGCCCCGTCTTGGCGTCTGGCCGACATGGTGGGCAGCAGGTCCGCCTCCGGCATGGACGACCGGACGTCCGTGGCCAGCCTCGATCTGCAAGACGCAGGAGGGAGGAGGGGCGGGCTGTCGCAGAGGCCACCCTGACTGCTAACGCTGCAAGTCTCCGTGTCGGAAAAGGAATTCTCCGAGGTGGTTTCATCCAACCCGCAGTCGCCGCTTCCATGAGCCCAGCGGTAGCCATCGGAAGGGAAGAGGTTCACCCGGGAGGGTGTAGGGGGTCGAGTGTTCGTCCTCAGAACGGGGGTGCTATCCAGGACACGGTGGTGAGCCACCGGGGTTCCCGGTCTTGGCCTCGGCCCAGGATCATCCAACCTCGGCGGCTGCTCTGCAGCGTCGCTGTGGTTGTCGGTGAACAATCGGACGACGGCCCGCTTCTTGATGGTGCCGATAGGCTTGCCGTGGGCGGAGAAGGGGAGGGGGGTCTCCGAGCTCCGCCTGACGGATGCCAGGGGCTGGTTCTCGTCGGCCTCCTCGAGTTCGGGCCCGGGAGAAGACGGGTGGCGCCAGTGGGGTTTCTGCTGCTGGTGCTTCTTGGAAAGGATTGCGACGGAGGAGGGAGCGGCGAACCCATTTCTTGGAGAGGCGGCGAAGCGTAGGGTTTCAGAAGAATAGACGGAGGAGGAAGAGGAAGGGTAAGGGGAAGAGGAAGGGGACAGGTAGCGAGAGCTGATCTGCCTCGCGCGGGGGCGGCGGGACTTCCGATCAGTGGCCAGAGGGGTGGGGACTGGTGGTTGCGTCGCCGATGGCACCGGAGTAGGAGGGGGGAGGCTGCGGTGCTTCCCCTCGGCATCTGACCCGGAGGGGGGAGGAAGAGGAATGTCGGAGAAATGGAGATCGGATTCCGCTATCATTTTGTTGGCAGAAAGAAGTGGGAGAGGAGGATACAAGATTAGTTCTCCATCTCAAGGGGGTTTAGAGGAGGAGGAGGAGGAGGGAGAAACAAGATCAAGATCAAGAACAAGGGTTTCTATGGGGGGGAAGAAGTAGCCGTTTGGTCGGGGGGGTGGCTGGGGTGCGTAGGCGACGGCCACGCAACGGCTAGTTTTCTGTGCGATTGATCTTGCAAAACCATCTTTCGTTACGCAACCATCTTTCACTGGTCGACATCACAGTCCCACAGGTGGGTCCCATCCAACTTCCGAATCACAGTTAAGCCAAGGAAGTCGATAATTTTGGTGTTTATCCCTAAAATTTTTCCAGTTAAATAAATTTGGAAAACTTACCACGTAACACATTTTATGTTGAGATTCTAATAGACATCAGTGTCGATGATTTAAAAAAATTAAGGACATTTTTAAGCATATTATATATATTTAATTTTAAATGGACACCGAAAAGATAGCAATAAGCCTACAAGAATAAAAGTGTGTTTTATTTCTGTGATTTGGGCCAGACGTTACTCAAAGCAGTCTAAATTGAACAGGCAGGCAGGCTTCTACATTACAAGCTGTTGTCAACGGAGAAGTGGAAAAAGAAGTCCATTGTTTTACGTGGTAGCATCCACAAAACAAGAATATATAAAGCGCCCGATCCATACCACTATCTGTACAAGTCCTCTTCCGGTGTTCGATCGATAGGAGTGTCCACTAGAACCTGCGCACGCCTCCTGCATTTCTCTGCTGCGGAACCGCTGATCCTGCAACTGAGCAAAACGATCATAGAATGAAGATTGGAGTTAATTATGACTTGGAAACTGAAACCACACGAGTCCTCCAGAACTTGTTGTTTGTATGATATTATTTATACTCAATTGTCGGTTCGAATCAACATAATCCATACCATACGCAAATGACAAGAACTGGAGGACTTGTAACATGGAGACTCGATGAGAAGAGAGTCGACAAAGGTATCTGACATTTACCTTGAAAGATTTAGGTTCTCAGTCATCATTTGTTATCGTTGTATCCCTGAAACGGGTAATCAGATACTCCGTGCTGACCCCACGTGGAACCTCTTATTTCTAACAAAGGCAATTATATAAGCTGTTAGCAAGCATTATAGAGTAGAAGCTTTGATTACTGTTTTGTCAAAGTTGGCTTACCTGGTGCAACTTGAACAAGTGGTGGCAGTAGAGGATTGCTACCCACATGTTGCATATTTAGGACTTGGCCAGGATATTGACCATAAGTCGCATTTGCCTGGTGTGAGGAAACATAAAGGAGAGAGAGACCTGGTTTTAGTGTTATTTCCATTGTGTTCCACCAATACAAGTAGTTGCTATTTTCTGATGGTCCACATACCTGCAAAATGGTTTCTTGCGTTCCAATCTCAGTGGAGCCTTGTGCAGTTGCCCCTACGATATCGCGTGCGTAGGTGTCAACAGTTTGGTGGTGTTGTGATACCTGCAATTTGAAGTGTAAAAACTCGCACAGATCGAATTTGTTAAAACTTTATAATTCGGCAACAAACTGAGACATTGTGTGTTCACCTGTTGGTCGTGTTCGCCACTACTTTGACCCTTCTTTTTGGGTTGCAGGTGTTTCTTTATAGTTTGCTCAACCTTGGATACCTTTCTTTTTGTCGAAGGACGCCCCTGCCTACGAAGAGCTAGAGGACTAAGCAGTCTGTTTTCGATGGTTAGTCTTGCAGAAGGGTGTTGAGTGCCCTTGCCATCCACATCACTTTTATTTATTCTTTTCTGGAAATCATCAATACAACTCCAAAGCATCTCAGAGTACTCATCAGACTCAACTGCCATGTCTGCTGCCTCATCAAACTTATTGTGTATATAATCATATCGTTGGGCCTTTGGATTATTGCTCCAACCGCAATAACCAACTCTCACCTTCATATGACGTCTTTTCAAATCTTTCCTCCATCGTGGTAGAATGTATCTTGACGGAACACTAGAAATTTGCCTCTTTACTAGGACAGATATCATATGCCTGCATATGATTCCCTTAAATTCAAACAAGTGACAGCTACACTGAACTTCACAATCACCCTCGGTGAAATGCACCTTGAAGTGGACCAGCTTATGATGTTGATCATCATCATCCCCGATCAAGACATCCTCAGACACATCATACTCCGAGATTCCATCACTCCCACCTGCTAAAGTGACTTCACAATAAAGCTTTGCTACCATCTCTTGCTGAAATTCTTTAAACTTGTCGATGGTATAAACTTGTTGAAATTGTTTTTCTATATCAAAATGAGTTACACAGGGGACCCATGAGTTGAAGGACTGAAAATCCGCTTGGTCTTCTCTCTCGACTTTACTTTCCAATGCAACATCATACTGCTCAACAAATTGCTTCATCGTTGTCTTCGAATATACAAGCCCATCGAAGAAAGGATTCATCCTTTGACTCCTTTGTGTTGTAGACATCCCAGCCCAGAAAGAATCTTTCACAAATGCAGGGACCCATCGGTGCCGCTCTTCATATAAACCTTTTAACCATGCATTATCATATAAATTAAATTTCTCGATGAATTTAGTCCAACTTTCTTCAAATTCCTCCTTTGTGAATGAATCATAAACTGCATTTTGCATCAATTTTCTCATTTCTTCATACACCCTATAACCCTTAAACTTCTCTGGCAGTTTCTTCATTATGTGCCACAAACACCATCGGTGACGAATGCCCGGGAATACAGTCTCAATAGCTTTTTGCATGGCCTTGTCTTGATCTGTGATGATAGCATTTGGAGCACGCCCAGACATACATGAAAGAAAAGCTCTAAACAACCATGTAAATGTCATGGTGTCTTCATTTGACAGCAAGCCACATCCAAATAAAATTGACTGGCCATGGTGGTTAACACCTACAAAAGGTACAAAAGGCATGTCATATTTATTTGTCAAATATGTTGTATCAATTGTAACAACATCACCAAACTCTTCATATGCTGCCCTGCTCCTTGCATCGGCCCATAACACATTTTTAATTCGGGATTCTTCATCAACATCCATTGCATAAAAAAAGCTTGAATTCTTTGATTTCATACGAATAAAGTAATCAAAAATTGCTTCAGCATCACCCACACCCAGCCAAAACTTACTTGCCTTCTCAACAGAATTCTTGCAATCTTTCTCCAAAGTTGGTGCAGTCTCACAACCCCCAGCCTGAACACTACAAGTTGTGTCATTCCTATTTACACCAGTCCCTGTCATATTATTCAATTCGAGTCTTTTTTGTGCACCTATAGATAAATCCCTGTTGCACATGCAGAAGCGTGATTTTCTCGGAACCAGAGAATGACTGTGTTCAAGCCTAACTGAATTGATTCTACAGCTCATATTTTCAAACAGAGTAGCATTAACTCGAGCTTTGCATCCAGTTTTTGTTGTCGGTTTGGGTTGTAGAATATTCCGTTTATAGATGTATGGCTTTCCCTCTCGCGAACATGCAATTGTCACATGTTCTATTTTTCCAGAACTTGAGATTGTTCTTGATTTTCTACTAACCCGAAAACCTTCTTGCTTTCCATATTTCTTGTAGTATTCGACAAGAGCATCCAAAGAAGGAAAAGTCATTCCAGGCTCAGGTGCTTTTACGATTTCAAGGCCAGCAACTCTTTTCTCCATTCGTTCCTGATTCCCACTATCTTTGTCACAGATAAGCTCCTCATCACTAGACTCAAGTGGAGATTCATCCTGTTCCATCTCAAGCGCTGTGATAGTAGTACACAACACCCTACATCCACTAAGAAAGATAAAAAGCAAACAACACTTTAAAGCCCCACAAAAGCTGCAAGATTGAAATTATCAGATGCAAGATTAATCCAATTATAATATTATATGAAGCTGACAGAACTAGAAACTAATTCTGAAATTACTGGATCGCCTTCAAATAAAATTCAAAGATTAAGAACAAATTATGTATACAGAGATTTTTTTTTTCCTAAAAACAATAGAATGCCTAATTGAGGGTCACATCTACTTTGACATACAAACAAAAGAACTTAAAATTATCATTGAAAAAGAAAATAAAAAATTTTAAATAGATTCACAACTTGACGCTCCAGGTCAACTTTCCAGGGATCACGGCAGACACCATTGACTGCTGCTTGTGCAGGTGATCCTGCATAACTCAGCAAAAAGGTCCTCCAACAGCAGGGGACCATGGAAACTTCACCTGCAGACCACCTCGGGTTCCTTATCAGATTGCTTGGATATTAAGCCTAAAAAGGTTATTTACAAACATGGTTACCATCTTTTAGGGGATACAAGCAGCTACAGAAATGGTGGCTTATCACAACAAGCACTTTATACAGCTGAAGACAGGATACGATTTCAAATTCATTCTCTAAACCATTCTTACATACCACATTCATGCAACTACCTTTGAATAAAGATGCCCATCATCTATTGATACTTAAGTCTATCTAAAATGATATTTAAAAGTCAATTACCACATGCAGCGGCAACTTATATTGTAAGCCTGGCATGAAATCTAGATAAAAGCTACCCAGTACCATATTGGCTAATATAGCCCATACACTCAGACAGACATTCTTCGTCTATTGATACTTAAGCCTATCTAAAATGCTATTTAAAAGCCATCAACCACATGCAGAGTATCAGCTTATATTGTAAGCCCGGCATGAAATCTAGATAAAAGCTACCCAGTACCATCTTGGCAAATATAGCCCATACAATCAGACAGACATGCTTCGTCACATAAGCTGATCTAAAAGAATGTAGCAGTACAGCAAAGGAAGATAGTTCACTCTTTTCTACTGCCTGCAAAAGGTAAGTTTCCCAACTCCTTATCATCAAGTTCAATTGGTTCATCACCGAACTGTGGTATATATCTTTAAAGACTGATCCAAAATTCTTAACATTTCCCTGGAAATTTCATCTTTGTAAACCTAACTAAACATCCCCTTCAACTACCAGAGCAATAAAAAAGTATGGCCCTTATCAAAAGCCAATTAAGAAAGATCCTCATCAAAAACAAGTTAAGAAAGGCCTTTCAGGTTCAACCTATGATAGAACTTGAGGTTTCCTACTTAATCCTCCAGATGATATCTTCTTCCTGATCTATATATACTCTCAGCTGACAAGCATAACAGTCTCTCATATTGAACATCCTGCATAAGCTCCATCTGGTGCAGAGCATATAAGTCATGATGCTAATCAACTAATGCTCTAGCATGATGTCTACCATATATAAAATGCTCTTTAAATTTAACAGTCATCACATATGTCTCATTCCCTCTGAGATGGTTCATATAACTTGCTTACTTATCCATGGAAGGATTTCTCCTACTTTGCCGTCGCTATTACCCATTTACTTGTGGTTAGTTATATGATGACCAAAGAATCCGCTGACACTCAATTCAATTACAAATTAAGGACACGTCGCCTGATATTTTAATCATCGATAGCTAGAGGAACTAGCCTATGATCTACTTGCATCAAGAAACCTTGCATCGATCATGGCACCTCCTCACCCCAACTAATGGTACCATGAAAATGATTAACAATCAAATCAATACAATCCATATGCATCACAAGGCAGTGTGACGAATGCCAAAATCAACCTTGGGATAGCCATGTGAATTCCAGCTGAAAGAAAAAAGATACAGATACCTAGGTATTTCTCTTACATCCTATTTGGAATCAACTTCAAATAATTTTGAACGGATTTCATATTAATTTCAGTTGAGATCAAAATTAAGAGTGATACCTTGGTTGGAACAAAATTGGAATAAATTGAGTTCTTCTATTTTGTGAAGTTTGGAGAAATGGTCAAGGTATGATTTTGGCTACCTATTATTACATGATACACTAATTTGAGACTTAAGTTTATTCCATAATGACGGTCCTCTTCTTATTTAGCTTAATTTAAAATTAGTTAAAATCATAAGTTAACCCTATCCAACAAAACCAATTTACTCTTAGTTAGTTCACTAGCAGGTCAAGCTGGATTCATGTAAGTAGTACAAGTCCCTATCATCATATCACAAAATGTGAAACATTGGTGTACCTTCTTAATTTTGATGTGACATGAAAAGAAGTATGCCATGAAGAGTCACAAAAAAAGAAAGCACTGCTTCATTCTAGAAATTAAGAAATAATGTCTTAAGTTTATGAATTTCATCTTAATCCATTGCCAGACCATGTGACTCGATTTTAATTAAATTGTAGTCACTTTTCATTCTAGACGAGGAATTTCAAACTGAATTTTAATCACATAAGAGTTCCAAACAAAGAAATTACACAAACAATTGGGGCATGGCAACAAGTCATTAGGAGAGTTACCAATGGCGACGAAAACACAAAGGATATACTATATATCCATTCAAAGTCGTTCCAAGTCCGCTAGGCCATCACGATACCTCAAATCCAGTAAGCTGCCCCGGCAGCAGCTTTCGGCAAGGGGGCTTGGTCGAAGCAAATCAACAAACAGCTGGTGGGCTCCGTGCGGTCAGCGATAACTTCGCTGCAGTCAGACAAACGAACCAGTAGCAAACAGGGTGATTGAACAAGATATGGTGTAAAGATCAGAGAGCACGGAACGACTACGGGAAACACGGCTGCCGCGCGGGGATGCTACTGACGGGTGGGTTCGGTGTTGTTTTCTAGGAGGGGATAAGATTAAGGTTAGGGTTAGGGTTACGGTTGGGATTGGGGTTTCGGGTTGTTTTCGTGTACCTCCATCGACTGATGCCTCGTCGTCCTGCCGCGGCTACTGCTGCATATTAGTTGTCTCGGTGATCCGGTGGAGGTGCTCCGCCACATCATGGAAGAAGCACCGTCGTCGCGTCGTCCGAGGCGGTCGGGCGGGCGGGTGGGTTCACGGGTTCTGCCGAGGGGTGGGGAGAACCAAGGTTTTTCCACGGGTGATGTGGCCTTCGCATCCGGACCGATCGCGCGGGTCCCATTTCACGTGCATGGCGGTGAAGAGACCACGTGACCCGCAACGCCAAAACGTTTCAGGGGCGGATGTGACCGTCCTCCACCCCCCAACCCCCAACCTCCTCCCTGTCCTCCCTCCCTCCGTGGATGCGGTGGGTCCTACGTGAAGGATTCAAGTCCTTGGGTAAAATATAATAACTGATTTAATTATTTTTATTTTCTATTAGGAACTTTGAACATAATAACCAAAATAAAATCATGATATCTCAGCTATTTTAAATACACTTGTCATTAAATTCTTTGAAAATCATTTTTTTGTAATTAAATTATAAATATTTGAATATTTTTTTTATTTACAATTAATAATTCTTTTAAATATCTCCTCGTGTCTTTGTCTCTCCTAATAGTTATTATTATTATTTCACATATTCAAATTATACAACGTCATCTTAAATGATTCTTTATCGTTTTACGAAGCATCCATCATCCTTCAACCTAAACATCTAACTTTAGTAGACTCTTTAAGACACTGCATTGGCAACTACATAGAGCAGCAATTTGTATCATCCAAGAATTCAATAATCATGATCACAACAACTCTATCTCTATGTCTGATGAAGATGGTTGGGTGGGTATCGGTGTTGACTAAGATTTATTAGCCACGGACATCCATTTTTCATTACTTGTCAAGCCCTAAAGTAATTTGTTTCATGTCAGATGATAGTTGCAAAAGACATGTACTCCTCAGCTATGCGTTAATCCATGACATGAACATCACTTGTTTCTCTTCCAAGTTCATGCTGATAGACAAACAAAGCAATAGTGCATGCAGAGGCAACTGATCCACCATGAGCATAATAAAGCTAGCGAATTCGAAAAAAATCAATCAATAAGGCTTACCTCTATTGTACACCATGTAAATCATTATTTTTAGGAGTACAAGCTTGATTTCTTAAAAAGGGAAACCATGAATGACAATGTATGGGGGAAGGAGGAAGGGGCATCGAACTCATGAATTAGGGCTTCTTGGTTGAGCTAGTATAGCCATGGAATATCCTGAAGTCAAATTAGGGTTTATTGGGGGATAATGTTTCTTTAACTCCTCTTTACTCTCTTCTCCTTATCGCTCGATGCCATCCGATCCTATTTATTACTTCCCTCACATCGTTATCTAAGAAGAAAGAATAAGAGGGAGGGGAGAGGGTTAAGAATAGAATATTTATATTAATTTATAAAGTGATAATTTAAAAATATTAAAAAAATTATAAATAAGATTATAAATATAGTAAATATACGGGTTTCAAATAGTAATCTCCTTTATTCCGCCTTCATCGAGAGATATAAATAAAAGGATAACTATTTACGATCCATAATTTTATTTTAAATATTTTCAAACTATCCTTGTGTAAATAAATATAAATCTCATTCTCCTCTTCTCTTTCCCCCTCATTCTCATTTTCTTCTTCTTCTTCTTCTCCTCTTACTCCTCTTGATCTTTTTCTTCCTCAAAAACCATGGAAAAGAGAAAAATAAATAAATCATTATAACTATTAAAAATAATATTGTTTAAAATAGTAAAATGATGAAGAACGCAAATAGTATATATACTTCTATAAGTAATATTGGGTTGTGTGTTTTTTTTTTTTTTCTGTTAGACAAAATTAACCTTCTCATTTAGGGTTATATTTTTATTTTTTAAAAATTTCATACAATCGGATGTAATTGAACATATTTCGTAGGATATGAGAAGACAAACAAAACCAACTCTAATGGCTTAATCCTCAAAATAAGATTGCATAGAATAATAAATTGCTACTGTTAAACTCAATCTATTGAAGCAATAAGGTAAATAAAAGTACAATTTCATACCTTAGCCTAACCATATCTAATCCCAATGAGTATCATCTTTTAAGCAATTAAAAGTACTAATATCATCATAGTGGCCCCGACGCGATCCGTGTCGTCTAAGTCAATAGGATGACGAAAACCGACCTCATCGATACATAATAATCATCGAAATCACTGTGCACAGGTCAACATAATGGTCCTTTTTTTAATTTCCAAGAAATCGGAATCTTAAATAAGAAGAAATAGATACGGAGGTTGGTCAACCTCATGCAAGTTGTTGAGATATCTATTCCACATCGTGTAAGTGTGTGAAACAAGCCACATGAAACAAGCTTTATGTTGACTTTTATTCTTGTTAGCCAAAACGTGATGCCCTTTAGATACCGATCAAACCTTTAGACTTTGGATCGAATTGGATTAATAACCTAGTCGCTTAGTTGTGAAAGACTTGAATTCGACGGGAGACCCAACTATCCATTAATTATTAGGCAGTTCTGAGACGTGCTCAAGTCAACATCCCTTTGTCGTCAGATCACACGCTTGGTCAACGACATAAGATGGGAATTGGACGGTGCTATCTAAAGGAATGGTTGGAGGGGATCCCGTCGTCCGTAGAGTAGAGGCTGGGCTCCACCACTGGGGCCTCGGTTCATCGGCCAATCAACCGGAAGAGGCTTTGGAATGGGATGAACTCAGGGAGGACGCATGTCACGTGTATGCACGTGACATGATTTGATTCTCAAGCAAGGATTCGAGGGCATTTTGGTTATTTCAGCGTCAAATGTTCGACTATTTCTGAAGGGAGACCTAAGAGAGAGAGAGAGAGAGAGAGAGAGAGAGATTGAGATAGATAGAGAGGGGAAGAGAGAGATAGAGAGTGGAGGAGGAGAAGAGAGAGATAGAGAGAGAGAGAGAGGGGAAAGGGCGGGGCGGGGCGGGCCATTTGAGTTTTCTTTCTCTGTCCCTCTGGCGTCGCCGTTACATGGTGTTGGGCCCGCCATCACCATGGTTTCGGACCAGGAGATCGCCAGCTGCGTTGAGTCGGTCCTCCGGCAGTCCGACCCCGCCGCTGCGTCGCTACCCGACGTCGTGCGCCAGGTCGAGGCCAAGCTAGGGCTCGACCTCTCCCACAAGGCCGCCTTCATCCGCGATCAGATCGAGCTCCTACTCCGCCCCTCCGTTCATCCTCTCCCTCCTCATCCCCAGTCGCAGGCCGCCGCCGGCCCCCATAACCCCTACATCCTCCTCCACCACCTCCCTCTCCAGCAGCAGATCCCCCCTCCCAAGCCCACATCCTCCGCCGGCGTCGCTGCCCCGGCCCCATTTCCCCAACACCACCACCCCGGCATCGCCTTCCAGTATCCCCCGCCCCCGCCTCTGCCCGCTGCTGCCGTCGTGGCGGCGTACCACCTCCAGCAGCAGCTCCACCAGGCGCCACAGGGGGTCCCTGCTGCTGTCGGGCTTGCGCCCGTGACTGTGGCTATGGCTGCGCCGAAGGAAAGGTGCCTCCTTTTTAGCTTAGAATGCGCTCTACTCTTCTTAACAAGGATTTCTTGACAAGCTTTTCGTGCTCAATTTGAGCTTTTATGTGGCTTAAGTAGCAACTACAAAGCTGAAGAATTGATTCAACTTTTGGTTTCTAGATTCATATGAGAGTTTTTCTGAAGACTTATACAACCAGTTAGGTTCAAGTGGATTACATTTTTATAGTTTTTCTTTTTAGTTTTGGTTATATATTAATATTGATCCAAGATTGGTCAAGAAAGAGAAAATAAATAAAAATAGAATGTAGCGCATGATCATCAAGTGAGTGTGTGTGCGCTCCAGAAACTAACTACTTTTTGAGGTTAGTAAACTAGATGAAGTGAGAGTGTGTTAGTTAACATATGGTAGAACCACTGAAACAAAGCCACAAGAACCACTGTATGCTAGTTTGAATTCATGTTACGGTGTCACTTCACTGTATGCTAGAGTCTAGTGCGTCCAAGCCGGTACAAGAACCACTGAAACAAAGCCACAAGAACCAAAACATAAACCAAAGTTGTCTTTTTAGCCCCTGTTTTGGAGTTCTTGATGTAGGTTTATCCATTAAAAGAAAAACTTTCTAACATTTAGATCATACCTTGGTGATACAACCAAATTTGAAATTCCTACCTTTCTTTTTTGTTTTGTTTTAGTCATTTTTCGGTTTATCTCTTTGCATAGCTTGCACCAGGATGTGGACTCGAAATGCCATATGAGTGATGCAATGCAAGCTTGAAGATTATAGGAGGTTTGCATTTAATAGAGAAATATTTTACTGATCCAAAGATTTTTTGAGTGTCAGGAAATCGGCAGATCTTGCGTAAATTATGCATATACGATGATGACTCACCATTCACTTAGTCCTTTACTCGGGCCTTGCGGATATACACTTGCAGCCAGTCCCATAATGAATTCAGAATGGCATGTTGGGTTGATGGGTAGGAGGTTGCCTACCACATTATGCACTTAAAGGAACAAACAAAATAGATGCTGAAACCTAGGTGTTGCAGAATCTCTATAACCTAAATCTCTCCCTTGGAAAAGTTATACTTAAGTTACATGAAACATTGGTAACAATCTTAAAGACAATTTAATCACTCAGAATAAATAGTTTATGTCACTAATTCATATTGAATCATCTGATTAATTTATGAAGAAAGAAATCTTACCCTGCTTGAATCTTCAACTGTAACACACATGTTGCTGTTTTATTCTATGAACACATTGGGAAATTAATAGAGCACTGACTTCTACAACTTGTTTATGGATACTGTTTAATTTTCCATAAGAAACTGGATGTCTTCTTTATTTTCATCTTTCCATGGTAGATAATTACTGCAACTGGTGGCTTCTGTACCAAGAAATATGCATCTTTGCTCCTGTTTTGTACATTCATATTTTTGGACTTTGTGGTACTTGGTCTGGTTACCCATACTTCATCCTTTGTGCAGTGCGCCACCTAGGGCTAAAAGAAAAGGTGGTCCTGGGGGTCTGAATAAAGTTTGTGGTGTTTCACCTGAACTGCAGCCCATTGTTGGTGAGGCAGCAATGTCAAGGACTCAGGTTCTTCATTCAATCAACACACTAATGTGTATAACACTTTGCTCGAGTTTTTGCTATTGTCTATGTGTGGGATACTAATTGCATATATCTTGGTTCAGATCGTAAAGCAGCTATGGGCTTACATCCGAAAAAACAATCTGCAAGATCCTAATAACAAGAGGAAGATCATCTGCAATGATGAACTACGGCGGGTGTTTGAGACAGATAGTACTGATATGTTTAAGATGAACAAGCTGCTATCCAAGCATATAATTCCACTTGATTATCCAAGTAGGCTAATCATCTCGTGCATTTAAGTGTGTTTGAATGCTTGTATGCCGCGATAACCTGAATGAATTTGAATCCACTACTTTTTTCAGAGGATACAGGTGCTGAATCCAAAAAACTAAAGGCTGCAGATGTTTCTGCAACTGAAATTACCAAACCTGATTCTGATGAATATCCTATGGTTATTTCTGATTCACTGGCCAAATTTTTTGGAAGGGAAGAAAGAGAAATTCTCAAATCTGTGGCTCTGAGTCGTGTATGGGATTACATAAAAGCCAACCAGCTGGAAGTAAGCTCTGGCTGTGTATAAGAACAGCATTAGTTCTGTTACATCAAAGATCAGCAAGATGTCATATGTGTGTGTATATATATATATGTGGCCTCTTTTACTGTGTTCATGATATCCTGCTTGCCCATGTTGATAATAATATTAATCATAGTGTACTTTTACTTTTTGTGTTTGGCTGCCCCCAGCATATATTTATTATTTAACAGCAAGTAATTTCACATGCTTCTTTGATGAAAATGAACTCTTTGCTTGTACAAATTGATGTTATGCTAGAGGTGCTGTCACCTCGCCAACTTGTGTACAAATGTCATTGATTTTGACCTTATATCTTTTGTAGACGGATACATAGATGGTTAGTTGCCATGCAAATTTCTTATGCCATTAAACATGCAAAATTCAGACCTAAGCTGTGTCATCTTTGTCTTTTCCCAACACAGTAAGGGATGCTGATTTTTGGTATATAATTAAATTGCTAAAATCCAGATGCTATCCGATACACCAATGATATTTCCTGGGTATTCTTTGTGAGGTTCCTCATGTTTTGTGCAATTGCAGTGTGGCACTAGACTCATAATGTCTCTTTAACTTATGAGCCTCTTCCTTTTGGTCTCCTGGTTATGAAATGACATTTTGTTGTCAGGCATGCTTCTAACTTCTTGTAATTAATATATTGTATTGGCAAGACTTTCTTATGATGTAAAAACCATCAAAGTTTATGTTCATGTCTATGTTTGGTGAACTGCTCAGTTATTAGTGTCCATATGTGCTGTGCTTCATTTCCAAAATTTAGTGATGGGTTAAAAGATGGCTTGGGTGGAACCAATCCCCTATATAAGGATTGGATGGCTTAGGTTATCTGGATCATTTGTTCGGTCTGTCATCATGCTCTAGTTGTCTGATCCTTCAGGACCAAATGGACAAGTATTTTGACTCCAAGGATGGATGAATAGTTTAACCAATCCATTTAGTGAGCTATGGAATCCTTTCCTTGGAAGATTGGAAGATCAGACAAAGATCAGGAGTCCTTCCTATACCCAGGGTCTTCCTATCTGTACTTTCATCTCTTGTAACATCTTCAAAGATTAGACATTAACATCGTAAGCATATCTTCCCATGCTATTCAATGAAGATGAGCTTGGGAATTCATTCAGCTTCTAATTAAATTCTCATGGAGATATGGATGCCTGTAGCTGTGTTATATCTTCTATTTCAGAAGTGACATTTTAATTGTGACCAAAAACAGAACTTTTTGAATGAACATTGAGGTTAGTGGGACTGAGACCAGTAAGAACAGATCAGGGGCCATTGTGAAAAAGAGATCTTGAATGAAAAATTGAGATTTACAAAAAAAAAGGAAGAAAATGTATATAGTCTGTAAATCTAAAAAAATGAAGACTATTAATGATATGTTTGTTATGAGGAATTCTAGGTGTTGTTTGCAAAATTTTTGTTCTACGAAGTGCATGACAGTTCATTTTAAGTTCTAAATATAGTGTTCAGCCTTCTCACTTTGTGATCTACTGTAGCCATTTGATTTTAAGATGCACTCTTCCATCCCCATTTCCCTTTCAAAGTATATTCACTCGAAAATACTTGTAAAATCGTGTGACCTGGCTCACCGTCTCCTTTCTCCCCTGATCTCTACCAAACTGATCGACAATGGACAAGATCCAGTTGGACTTGATTGAATCATCCAGGGTTGGCTGGAACAGGTTAATTTCAGGTGAATATCAATTGAATAGGGGAAAATGAGGTGGGGGTGGGGATTTGTAGTGTTGTCAGTTAATACACCTAGATCAGAGTAAGGCCTTGCAGGGTCCAATCATGATGAGTATGTAATATAAGATATTTATTGGATTTGAGAATATTTGCTAGTGTTTTAGTTTGAAATTTAAAGGTTGTTCATCAAAATTTTGTTTGGTTGATTAACATCTAAGCTAACCAGAGGTTCTATGTGACAACTGCATTTCATTTTCTGAGCAATAACCGGTGAGGACAAAATGTGACTAAGCATGGGATACAACTCTATTTCTGAATAACATTGATTTGACAAGATTCTCACATTGCTTTAATGTTTACAGCTGCTGATATTTTATGTGACCACAATTTCTACTTGTTTATTTCTATTGTATCTGCTCTTATCTGATACATCTCTTGATTAGAAACACTACTTAATCTGAGTTTTTCTGCTTTGGCTTATTGTAGGATTCTGCAAATTCATCTATTCTCTGTGACCCCAAGCTTCAAGAACTATTTGGTTGCGAGAGCCTTCCTGTCTCAGGGATATCTGACTTGTTGGCAAACCATTTATTAAAGAAGTCGTAATACTATCCAGTAACTGGTTAGATGGTCTACGCCTTCACCATTTTCCTTGTGTCCTTTTTTGATGTGTCACCTGGCTCTAGAACTATGTTCATTATTTTGCTGATTTGAGGTTATATTTGGAATTTGTTATTCTGTTTAACTACCATTTTCATGGAGCCTTCTCAATTCAAGCTTTTCCATGGTGAAACTCTTTTGGATATTGAGGGCTTGCCTGATGCTGGTAATTGACTAGTATTTAATATGCAGGATGTAACTTTACTGTCTATCAGATGAATAACATGGCAACATTAACTATAAATACTTACAAAACATATTTGTGTTTTGTGATCCTCAAATCTCAGCCTTCCTGTGCTAGCTACAATCATTGATGTTTCATTTGCAAGGTTAGCATTACAAAACATAAAAATTGGTTGAATCTTTATTCTAATGATGCTTTAATCATATGTAATAAAGTTCTTTTATATTGCAAAATAGTATAATTAGAGGTTAAAACATCATTATTTCATGCTGAAATACACTGAACTTTAGTGGGCATATATTGTAAGTTATTGCAAACCTTTGGTAATGTTGCTCACTTGGATCCATATTTGACTTCGATCTCTTCTGCATGAAATACTTTTCACTTCAATAATTTCTAAAAAAAAATGACCTTAAAAGTATGTAACTAAGATGCATGTGTATAACTTCAAGATTGGAGATTGAATAGTCCTTGCCTAGTTGTAAATTATTTTATGATACTGTATGTTTGTCATTATGTAGAAGACCTTGATTCTTTGTATTCAAGATTTATCAAGATGTTCAAATGTTGGTATTCTAATTAAAACACTTAGTTACATTGGAGCTCATAAAATCATTTCATAATTCTATATCATCAACGTACTACTAGTTTCTCAAAAATATTTCTCAGCATATGCTTTCCATGGTTACCTGGGTCATGAGTTGATATGTAGTTGGTATGATACAAGGACATAGTACAGAAAATTTCCCGACGAGTAGTAAGGGATACTCTCAGTTGCGGGGGCCGTTTCTGGTTGGGGTCTGCATGGGTCGTTTATATAATTGTATTTGTATTTTTATTATATAATCTATTTTACATAATTATTTTCTCTTTATTTTCCTTTTATTCTTGTCTCTTTCTGGTTAGACTCATGCCTCAGAGCTTAAATCCTGTCTCATTGCATTCAAGTCATGCCCCTCTTTCTCTCCCCCTCCCTAAAATGTTGTTGAACACATATTCGTATATATATTGAGTGCAATTTGCCTTGGATGGCACATGACAAACATTGGACAGTGCATGGTCGGTGATGGGTGGTTAGCAGCGGCAAACAGTTATGTTCATCTCCTTTTCCTGCCCCTCATCAACTCCTCTCCGGGTGTAGGACATCTATTGCATGCTCCTCTTCTTTCATTTTTTGTCGAACATAACCATAGAGCACCATCACAATCCATACATGTGAGTGTGACCCAAATTGCCGTTCAAAGGGTGCAGCGAACCTGTTTATGCTGCACTACTCTTCATTATGTCTAAAGCAATTTGTAATGTTAAGATATCTCACCTCTGCTTATTTAGGCTGGAAACTATATTTGCTGTATGCAATTGCTATAAGTTTACATCTTTTTTTTGCCTCCAGCTTGCTTGGCACCGGTTGTTTTGCTATTGACTGAACTGGAAATATCATGCTTTATGACTTGAATATTTACTGCTCCTTTCTCGTGTCATTTTCTGCCAAGATAGGCTGTTAATGATGGTCTTGCATAAGCATTGTACCCACTCATCTAATTCCACAGCATGATCAGGACTTTGATGATTTTTTTTTCCTCAATGTTCATTGATCAATCAAAGAAGTTATTGTGGAAAGAAGCATTGATCTTCACCATTATTGCTTTTCTTTCAACTTGCCCTATAGTTACTTTATACGCTAAGTTACAGGTGTAGACGTGTTCATAAATTAACCTACGGTTGCTTCAAAGGTGTTCTTCAGTAAATTTCTTATGCTCATTTTCTACGTTAACACTGTGATATTTAAATGGCTAATGTGAAAAGAAATAATATGTTCCTGTTCTTGTGCTTGCAGGTATGTGGTTCAGTTGCATCAGCTTGATCTAACACTTACAGAGAGCTGGAAAAAGAACCCTATTGTAATATGTACTCTTGCTGACTGTATGTGATGATGATAGTCTGATTAGTTTCTTGTTAGGATGTTGTGTAATTTATTTAGCAGTAGTGATCCAAATGATGATAGTTGACCTTGAATACTTGGTTTCCAGTCTTAGACAATCAGCATCTGACTTAAATGGCTCTGACAAACTTTTGCTTTATGTAAGTGAAATATTTTGAGTAAATATGAATACCAAATTGCAGATGAACAGTGCTACTCCTAAGGTAAGTGACATCCAAGTGTTCTAGGTATGTTGAGAGCTTTTGTCTGTCTCATTTATGTTATGTTGTTCTGAATCTACCTAAATGTTTACAACCATTGATGATATACTGTTGGGAGTTTCTGCTGAAGTCTCATCAAATTTATCCTGATGAGCAGTGACATCTGATTAGGTTAGCCTCGTATTATTTTGTATAGTCTAAACTATAAGTTGCCTACTCTTATGCACAAATTTGCAACTCAGCTAATTTGGATTCGCTAGGATTATGAGAAGCTGTTGTTTAGCTAGTCATGTTACGTGCTTACTCATGTTGAATTCGAATTTGTTATCATGCTCACCATTAAAATCTTTGAATATGATATGAAATGAAATGCATTGGTAAGAGAAGAGTTATGAACAGTGTAATTGCATGAGTTAGATTGTCTTGCTTACTTTTCCAATGCTGAGAAATGAGCGCTGGTAATTGCAGAATCTTGCGAACCATCGATGCTCCTCCGAGGCGTGGCCGGTCAAAGAGCAGGTCGTCGGTGAGTGATATCATTTGGCTGCGACCTGCAATTTCATTGGGCACTCAATAGCGAGTTAAAAGAATAAGGTAAGCGGTTTTAATTGGTCATCAACTGTGCCTTTTGTTTACCACCGCAACAGATGCGCAGATGAGATCGATCGAGAAAGATGGGGAAAATAAGACTCACCGAAACCTCCCAACACTTGAAGATTCATAGAGACGCTCGACGCTCTCCGTTCTGCGCCAACGTAACGTAATCTGCAACGGTGCACTGAGGTGAGCTAGCCGTACGAAGACTCGATGATAATTAGGACGCACTTACGGTGAGCAGAATGCAGCATACATACGTCGCACAATTCATCGAGCATCTGATGGGCGGCCGGCATGGTATGGGCAGCGACGTGGGCCGAAGGTGGCATCTTAGTCACCGTCTGGGTTCGGAGAGTGATGGTGAGTTGGAGGCGGCCTTGAGGAAGCAGATGGGAGGGGAGGAGAGGAGAGGAGGGAATAGATGGCGGGGGAAGACGAGACGGAGGACCGGATGAAGTTGGGCGTCTTCTTGATTCTGTTGCAGGTGGACCGCAGCGAGTGAGTGAAAGGGAGTCGAATTGCAAGGTCTTTGGTAATGGAAGTTCCAGCCGCATAAATATGACGCCTGCCCGTAAAGACCGGTCTGTTTGTGAGCGGTCCGCTTTGGTTCGCTCGGGTTCGGGCTACAAAACCTTGATCGTGATGCATGATAAGATACAAAGTTACTATTAGCTTCTGCAAGTGTCAGAATTCTTTGAAATGAATCCAAGATATGTCTCTACCCATAAATCTATTTCTGCCAAATGCAAAACACAACAATCTGAAACATCAAACAAAATCCGTCGCCGCCAGCACCGGTAACATTGCTGTTAAGGCATTAAATAGCAAACAATGGTCCAATTAAAATGTTCTCGAAAATATTGCTCCAAATATTTGTTGGAGGAATCTAAATTATTTCGACAGAACTTGGAAAAAAAAAAGGCATGGAAAGGCTTAAGAAATAAATCTCAGATAAGTTATCGTCACCATCAGATTATTAGGTGGATGCGCCACTGGAACACCACCGAACCGTACTTCTTGCCAAAAACAATCTCAAGCACCACCTGAACCGTACTTCTTGCCGAAAACAATCAGCTGCAGCTTGTCATACCCGGCGAGCACACCGGCACCGGCAACGGCACGGAGAATGTTGGCACCTGCACCCTTGAACAGAGACTTGGCACCCTCCTTCTTCAGGATCTGGGAGAAGGCATCCAGGGAGCTCTTGTACTTGACAGCCTCTCCAGAGGTCATCATCATCCTTCTGCGAACGGTGTCAATAGGGTATGACGCAAGTCCAGCACCATTGGTGATCACCCAACCTAGAGCAAAACTAGCAAAGAAACTATCCTGAAATCGTAAAAAACGCAATGAGTCAGAATCAGATCCAAGAACACGGTAATTTCCCTGTAAGAACCACCGGCTTCAAGGAGTCGTACATTCAAGTTAAACCACATACCTGTAATTTCCCTGTAAGAACCACAGGCTTCAAGGAGTCGTACATTCCAAAGTAAAGACCACGGTAAACTATAATTCCAACACATGAAATATTGAATCCTCGGTAAAGGCCAGCAATGCCATCAGATTGCAGTGTCTTCCTGTAGACATCAACTAGGCCATTGAATTGTCTTTCCCCTCCCTTTTTAGCAGCTTTAGCATCATTAGCCAATCGAGTTCGGGCGTAATCCAGAGAGTAGACAAAGAGTAGAGAAGAAGCACCAGCTGCACCACCAGAAGCAAGGTTTCCAGCAAACCATTTCCAGTATCCATCCTTGTCTTTCTTGAAATTGAACATTCTCTTGAAGTAATCTTTGAAAGCAAAGTTTAGAGCCTGGAAGGGACGACAAGAGAAGACGGTAAGCATATATAAAGAAGATAAAGGAAACATAACATCTGAATAAGATCTTAAGAGAGAACAGTACATATATGATTTGTGAAGACAGGTACAAGGGAATCAAACCTATGAAAAAAGGATGATAATTTTAATAAATGTTGAAGCAACAATAGACAGTAAAATCTAAGGGGCCATTGCCACCCTGATCTAAGCACAAGAAAACCTATATGAGAATTGCACAGGGAGAACTACAGAAAGTGCAAGCCCAGCAATGGTCATTCAGCTTGCACAAGCCAAGACTAATCATGTGAACCAGACCCACCCCCATCACCCACATGACAAAAATGGATAAATACAAAGTGAAAACATGGCATCAGGTCTAATATAATGATTTATTGCAAGCAAACAGCTATCAAGTGGACACATTATAAAACAAATCGATTGAGAAATAAAACAAGAAAAAGAAAACATCACAAGGTAAAAGGTATCACTAGGTCATGCAGCAATCCAGGATCGAGGTTAGGGAAAAATAGAGAGCAACTACCATAGCTGGATGAGTTGTAAATGCATATGCTCAAAAGGATGTATGACATACAAACTTAGAAACTGCAGCTAAAGCCAAGTAAACCAGTCAAATGCTACACACAAAAATATACATGGTTAAGAGGAAGTATAACCAAGCGCATATCAGATGATCATTAAGTACAATGACATTAGCTATTTCTATCTGAATCTACAAAAACAAAGTTGAAAAAATCTCAGCATAACATATATACTATTCCAATGATGTGATGGAATAAGTTACAAAAGTGAATATAAACAGTAAAAGTGTACAAAACTCACCTGAGTTGGAAAATAGCGTATAACATTTGCTGTGTTGCCTCTCCACAGTGAGGCAACACCTTCTTCCTGCATTGTTCGTTTGAAGCAGTCACTTATACCTTTGTAGGGTTCAGAAAGACGACCAGTCTTTATCATCTCATCCTGGTTCTGGATAAGAAGTTTCACACGTTCAATGGGAGCAGCAGCTGTTTTAGAAACAGCAGCAGAGACTCCACCCATGAGGAAATCTATTGCAAAACTCGCAAGACCTTTTTCTGCAGGTGCATTTGCAAAAATAGGCGATGCAGATGACAACATAGAGAGATCATAGCTAGCTCTGCATGCAGGCACCACTGGAGATTGAAGTGCGCCATTAGTGTAGTTTGCAGTTTTGAAGTGTCTCTTGTATACTGAAGTCGTATTGAAGTTATAACCAATAGCCTGCATGTCTTGTGAAAAGGTAGAACCAAGATGGAATTGGCCAGCAAATTTTTGGACAACAGTTGGGTGGTTAACTTGGTCAGCCATGTCTCACTTCCAGATTAGTCTACATGTACAGCACATAATCATCAAATCAGTACAAGTTGGAAATTAAATTCTTGAACATTCCATTTATAAGAAAACAAAGAAAGGGACGATTTAAGAACATATTTTTTGAAAAAAAAGAACACCTTTTTCACACTTATACTTATTTCTGTTTTTGATGTAATATTTTCTCCTATGAAAAGCCTGGTGTTTCCCATTGTTCTATATTTCTTCTCATGCAAAGTGAATGTTTGCGGATTGCCCCATTTACAGCTCAGACAGATATCTAATAGATAGACTACTGTAGTCAGCAACAAGCACTTAACCTTATAGGCAGTACTTATTTCACACATAGGTATCTTTAATATAAATTCAGCACCTGCTTAAAGGGGTTGACATTATGTTGTTTAAACCTTCTAAATGACCAGCCAACAGAGACAAGCTTTAAACTGGAGTACAGGAGGTTGATTTAAGCATAAAAACAGCTATCACAAAGTTTAAAACAGTTCCATCCTAACAACAGAAAAGCAAAAGAGCAAAAAAAAAAATTAAAAACAAGAAAACAGCATCAATGACATTATCATACTACTCGGTACACCTGCATTAGACAATAATGCTACTGAGAATTAGAACCATCAACGCTAAAAGGTTTGATCTTATTAAGCCCTTAAAAAAAAAGGCAGTGCTTCTAACACCTTTGTGTTTGCTTTTAGTTGCGTATGAGCACCTAAGCACAATTTTCAAAGTAAACAAAAGGAAAGTGACGGGAGTATGTGGAACTTGAGGATCCAATCTTTCAAACCCAGGAAAGATGATCGTACAAAGAAACGTAATCCTCAAAACTATCCTTAAACAAAAAAACAGTACATAATTGGAAAAACATCTACAAAAGTGCTCAATAAAAGGTCAAATAAGATTATTTCTCACTGCATTCAGTAAAGGATGGTAAAAAAACACAACATATCAATGCATTAGCTTAATATCAATAGATAACTAACAACATCTAATTATCCATTGAAACGACTACCGGCAGAAAGGGGCATATTGGCATACAAACCAAAGACAAAGATTAAGCAATTAAATCAATCATATAGGACGCATTAAAAAAAAATATAATACACAGAACAAATGCGCATAGCACACAAAAAGCATAAATATTATAAGAAAAGATCAGAACAAATGCACGAAGAGGGAATAATCGACGACTTCTTTTATGGTAGATCTATCAAGCGAAGCAATAGATGCACCAAAAACCTTATAATACAACATGGAACGGCTCCAGATCCGGACCATTCAACAGGAAAAGAGCCCAAACAAAAACAAGATCAACACCAAAACAGAGATCTTTCGCCGCAACAGGAACAAGTTAACACGAACGAACCAGGATAAGAACGCTACGGCTTACCCTCTCGGAGTTGGGAGTAGCAGACACTCCCTCCTCTCTCTGGGAGAACCAAGCGAACGCGCAAAGAGATGTGAGACCGCGAGAGGAGGAGGGAGGAGAGGGAAGACGCGGGGCGGATGGGAAGGGAGGCAACCATCGCGTGGGTGAGTATTTATATAGAGAATCCTAGGGTTTCACAACCATGTTGTTCTTGTGGAGTGACTGCATAGAAATCTTGTAAGCGACAAGCTTGATTGCCATCGAGAGGTTATGCGAACGAATCTTGACCGCCTGATCTTGACGCTGTCCAGCTTTTGAACGGCCGATGCTGTTGTGTACTCGAATTCTTATGCGCCCTTATTCGTATGAAAATACTTTCCCTATTTCTTCCTTCCCTTATCTCGATATATTAAATTAAATTTATTTCCTTTTTTTTTTAATTCCAAAACTAACATACAACGTAATATTCTTGATTATTCATGTTTTGATTGCCGGAGACACTAGGAATGCTAGTTTAGTGTTTGGTTAATCGACACATCAAGGACTCTAATTCAATCTAGGATAAGTGATCTCGTCTCATGTGTGTCACTATGGATTGAAATGATTTAAGAATCAAAATAATATATTTTTCTCATATATCTTCATGATGTTAATTTCTAGGACTACATGTAACCCAATATAGATGTTAATTTAGGTTTTGATTGTCCAACACACTAGGGATGTTAATTTAGTGTTTGGTTACATCAAGGACTCTAATTCAATATGGGATAAGTGATCTCGTCTTATGCGTGAGTCACTAATGATTAAAAGTATTTAAGAACGAGAATGATATAATTTTCTCGTGATGCGCTCATTAGATCTTTTTATGATAAAGTTAAGTAATTATTGAATTGAATGAAAAGTTAGTTCTCCGGTTCAAATCGATTATTATTGAGTCATAAAGACATGCGTTGATTATATGAAATTATTGATAATTACTAAAACACATGTTAATAGCGTCAAAGTCCTCCGTTTTTAAGTAGGTATATAAATTTATAAAATGATTGCAATGTAAAAATATATGCCCACATATTACTCTTTTTTATCAATATTATTATTCTCATCGAAGCATGCTTAACTTTAGAGCTACGATGCATTATTGCTGATATCATCACACCCATAAATAACTATGCATTAGCCAAATGAATATCTCAATAACATCTATTTTTCTTAAGATTATTTTTTATTATTTTAATTTTTTTGGATAATTTTACTTGATCTTCCTCGTTCACCCTAACATATTAACTTTCACATCCTCATTGTTTTTGTACATATCAATATGAGAATCCCACAGTCAAATCTGGGACAAAAACTTAAATGCAAGTCAACACAAAAAGGTTAACCCAAGGGTTGATCATCGATGATTACCTGAGAGGTGGCGTTTGTGACAAATGCAAGAATACAAGGCTATGATAGCTAGTCTTTCGACAATTGAGTTCTTATGCAAAAAACCCTGAAAAGGGTAGCAGCACTGAAATAATGACAAACCAAACTCTCCCAGTCTGCATCACTGTCACAGATGAAACTGTCAACATTATCGATCGATCCTTGAAATGATTTGTGAAATTAACATGTACTACAGAAAAGTTCAGCAATCCTGGGAGCAATACAACTTATAATTCGAGCAGGTGGTGATCGATACAATGAGAACTCCTGCTTCAAACATAATTCAAGTAATCTCCACGTCCCTGTGCATCCTGGACTTGCAGTGGTTTCTTGTACGACTGCAGAAGTAAAGAGGAGCAAACGACGCTGAGCGATGAGGCGGCCATGCAGGCACCAGCGAGCCATGGAGGAAGCCGGATTCCGGTGAATGGGTACAGGATGCCAGCAGCGATTGGCATGCCGAGTACATTGTAACCCAGAGCCCATACATAATTGAGCCGGATCCTTGCTAGAGTCTTCCTTGATAGATCGATGGCAGTAATTACATCCTCCAGGTTGCTCTTTATCAGAACGATATCAGCAGCTTCGATGGCAATGTCTGTGCCAGCGCCGATGGCCATACCAACATCTGCAGCAACCAGAGCTGGTGAGTCATTAATCCCATCACCGACCATCGCTACTGTCAACCCCTCCATCTGCATTAAGATAGATAAGTCCTTGAAATGAATGGCAACAGTACCATTGTGACAGACAGGAATCAATTAACGTGTTCAACCATAGAAAATAATAGTCTGCTAAGAAAGAAGACTAGAACAAGAAATTTCTGGAGAAAATTTTCAAAATTATTGAGCTATCCAAACAGATAATAATGTCAGCCATGATGCATTAGCCTTACAATAATATCTCAACGAAACAATTTCTAACAAGTTCTGATGGAAGTTCCAAAATAATGCATATATCATGGTCATCTACCACTGATAAAATTGGTTTGATTAATTTTTTTATCACTCAGGTGTAAAAGACTAATAATATTAAACTAACACAAAATCCTTCCAAAATATATTTGTACGTTGCTGACTAACCAAGTATCAGCTGGTTATGAGCATGAAGATAGAGTCAGTACTTGTGAATCAGAACTAAGGTGAAAAGACTAAGGAGCCAAAGCAAGATAACTATGTCCATCCTACCTGCAAATCCTTAATTCTTTCAGCTTTTCCCACGGGATCTGTCTCAGCAAATACTTTCTCAATTCCGACCTCCCTTGCTATGGCAGTGGCAGTAGCCCAATTATCACCGGTCACCATAATGCTTGAAATACTCATGGAATTTAGAAATGAAATTACACGGCCAGCCTCAGGCTTCAAGGGATCAGAGACAGCAAAAGCACCACAGATTACACCATCAACAGCAACCAGAACACAAGTCCTGGCTAAATGCTCCATGTCTGATACATAGTCTTGGATTTCAGGGCTTACTGCGACTTGGAAGGCAAGCATGAGCCTCTTGTTCCCAACAAGGACTCTTTTGCCTCCAATACTGGCGCCAACTCCAGCACCAGGATGCACTTCAAAGTCCTTGGCTTCAAGCAAGTGATCATCAGAAAACCCATACTGCTGGTGTAGTTTCTTCGAGTGTTCTATAACAGCCTTTGCTAAAGGGTGCTCACTGTTAACCTTAACAAAAAAATAACAAAGGTTGATAGAGAAATTGCTAAAAGATATCCAAAGCAGAAAAAGTGGTTCATTAATTACTAATCTCTAGTGCAGAAACTGCTGAAAACACAAGATCATCTTCTACACGTCCACTAAAACATACCTAATTGGAAAAGGTACATAATTTAAACTTGCTTAAATGCTAACCTCTGCAGCAGCAGCCAATTTGCATAGCTCTTGTAATGATATCTTTGAAAAGTTCTTTATCTGGACGACTGCAGGTCTTCCAATTGTCAAAGTTCCAGTTTTATCAAAAACAACAGCTTTCACCTGTGAAGCAGAGAGACAACCAAAGTCAAATTCCATCTGCATAACCCAAATCAGATCAAAAGTAAAAGTACATCTGATTACAAATTAAAACCATTTCCACTAGGCTCCTATGGTTGATAATTGCGACATTTTTCCTAATTACCTTGTGGGCTTTCTCTAATGCATTACCACCTTTTATAAGGACCCCCTGAGAAGCACCTTTTCCAGTGGCAACCATAACAGCTGTTGGTGTTGCTAGTCCTAGAGCACATGGACAGGCAACCACTAATACTGAAATCCCAAATTGCAGAGCTAGCTCAAATCCATCCATCGCCTTTGGGATCCAACTCCTTGGATATAAGTGTGTTTCTCCAGGGATGAACCAACCAAGCCAAGTGATGAAGGCAGCAACCACAACCTGCAAAATAATTCAAACATTTGGAAAGGTCACCATCCATATTGTCCATCTTCAGATTTCATATGCTGATAAAATGGGATTGCATGGTTCTTTTACAAATTGCATTAGATCTACAACTTAATTGGAACAGTAAAATGTACTCGTAACCAGTGGCATGTCTTTGGGCGTGATACAACTGCAGATGTTTTTCTCAGCATCAGGTCGGCAGCAATATGAACTATGACCACAATAAGAATATTTCTCAAAGGCAACATATTAGTTCAAGATGGTCAAGTCTTTCAGTGAACTGGAAAATCTTCATGGTGAAAAACGAAGAAGACCGTGAAAAGCAACCAGCAATTAGTTCCAGACAAGAAATATTAGCATCACATGCACCTTAGCTTTTCTCTATAAGGAATTTTCCAAACTCAAAAGTACCAAACAAATAAATTTCTGAAGCTTAACTAGATTATTCCAGCTAATTATCTGCTGTTCTCCAAAATTGGTATGCAATTTTGAATGGTACCGCCCGGTACAGACGGTACATACCAATCCGACAGCATACCGATATGCGGTACGCCCGCTACCGAACGGAACGTGCTACAGTGCTATACTGTAGTAGTGCTACGGTGCTACAATAAGATGAAGAAATATTTAAAACGGCTTGGTAATAGTGATACAGTGCTCCAACGATCAAATTGACCGTTGGAGCCCTTTCTCATAATATTTAAACCCCTTCTCCCCTATTTTACTCTATTACATTTTCATATTCTCTTAAATTATCTCAAACTCTTTTTTTCCCATATTTGTGCTCTCCTAAACTCTACGAAACAACGATTTGTGAATTGAATCAAGGTTAATTTAGGAAAATTAAGAGGAAAAATTTTCTAATCAAGAGGTATGTTTACACAAGGACAATTCGTAATGGACTGAAATACGAACCCTGCACAAGATATTCTTCAGAGCCAGAAAAAGATATGTGATACTATTCTTACCTAATTTACATTGATTTTGTTAAACTTATACTATTACTATATTTATTTCTAACTTAAAAATCCTATCCTAACTTCTTTTTTTTTCATGTATTTTCGGAGGGTTTTACGCCTAAATTAGGTGTACCGCTCGGTATGCCCTGGCGTACCACTCGGTACACGGTACTATACCGTACCGAGCCAACCTCGAAACACCGGTATGGTATGGTATTGCATACCTTGCTCCAAATATTGACAATGTCCAACACTCTTAATGTGACATCGTAGTTTCTGGACAAGAATAAGAGCCTTCTAATCTGGCAAAGGTAAAATCAACAACACAGCACAAGTGACATTGCAGAACTCTCAGGTCTGCAGGCAAAAGGCTCAGCAGAGGTTCCAGAATGTAACAAATCCAAATACAAGCTCATTTAGAGCAAGATACTCAGAAGTTCCTGCAGACCGGAAAACAAATATATGGCATATATTGATATGTTTAAAAATTGATAAGTTCATCTTGCTTTGCTAGACAGGGTGTTTGCATTGCTGAAAACAGGTTAGCAAGAGAATCTAAATAAAGCAAATCAAGGTTAGATGGGAAAAGAAGAATGAACCGGCTGTGTTGACCAAAATTTATCAACCAAAATTCAGTACATTTAACCATTTTATAACCAAATAAACTTTGGACAAGATAACAGTACATGAAACCTAAATACCCAATTAACAAGAATGAAGAGTAGCTATTGGTTAAGCAGTTCGTTTGAACCAACAAGCAATACATTGGAATGCCAGGGAACCAGATTGCTATCTAATGCAAACAAAAGCCAGATAATCACAGTGGATCTAGTAAGATATGCAGCAAAAGCATAAGACTTGCCAGTTAACTGTCCACTCACAACAAGTGCTAGAAGTGGGAGGGAGGGAATAAGTAAGGGGCAAAGAAGCAGGAGAAAACTCACAACAAGGACATTTTAGTTAGCAGAAAAATTCTAAAGATTTTACCTACTCAAAAGAGTCGAATCTAATTATTGTAAATTGCATACTAGTGCAACCATTATTTATATAACAATCTTATATATATATACAGGTTATTCATATAAAGTAATTTTATCATAATCAAAGAACCTCATCGAACTTATGCTATTTTTTTGGTGTATCAGCATTTCAGCAAGATGGAGAACAAGAACATTCAAAAATACTAGCGCATAGTATAGCTCATATTCTGCAGGCATCATATCAAAATGTGCATCCAAATATAGATGCCCGCATGGGGAATCATGTAAACCCAGCCTAGATAATTTGTTTCTTGTTTACAGCCTAGGCAATATCAAAGTTGCATGGTCAACCAACCTTGCCAATAATGTTGTATGCAAAACCTTTTTCATAATCAATTATGAATTTCTCAAAAGATATTGATAATGACCAACAAATCCACAAATTGCTTCTAACTGACAATGTACTTACCATTGGGACAAAGAACCTAGAAATCTTGTCTGCTAACTTCTGCACTGGAGCTCTTGCAAGTTGAGCCGCCTCCACTAACTGAACTATCTGTGAGAGAGCAGTCTCTGATCCAACATGAGTTGCCTTAATTAGTATGCATCCATTCTCATTCACTGTACCACCGATGACCTGTTTGAAATTCTTCTTAAAATAAATGCACAAAAAAAATAAAAAAAATGCACAGTAAAATAATTACATATTTCCCAATACAAAACCTTATCTCCTTGTCTCTTAGCAACAGCCTTTGCTTCTCCAGTAATCATGCTCTCATTCACATGGCTTTGACCCCTTATAACAATCCCATCTACTGGAACTTTTGAACCTGGAACTATCTTGATCACATCATTCCTCTGTAATAACTGAGTACTAATCTCTGTCTCTGAGATTACATTTCCATCCACATCTAAACTTAGCAGAGTAGCTGTATCAGGAGCAAGTTCTGTCAGCTTTGCCAAAGCATCTGATGTCTTGCCCTTTGCAACCACCTCCAAGTACTTACCCAGCAGAATAAAAGATATTAACATAGAACTGGTTTCGAAGAAGTCCTGACCTTCGAAAGATTCTGAGGTTAATGCTTTTATAACAATGTATACGGAGTAGAAATAGGCCGCATTAGTTCCTAATGCAACCAGAACATCCATGTTAGCGGATCCCCGTCTCAGTGCATGATAAGATCCAACATAGAATCTGAATTAATTGCCAAGCACAACCATGACTTAGTAAATTCTGCAACACTGTTAGAATAGGCTGTATCAATCATGCTTGTGAAAAAAAAGAATATCCACATCATAATCTATGCATAAAAATATAAAGCATTGAAAAGTCTTCCACTAGGATATACTCTTCAGCAGACTTGATAAAAGAAATATATATGGCATCACAAAAAACAAACATTTACTATCAAAACCTACACCACCATTTTTAAGTCGTTAATAAAAAGTGAACCTTTAGGATTGATAAGTAATACAAGTCATATAAATCAGAAGTCCCAGAGTATCCAAATGAACATTAAATCGTAAACGGTAATGGAGAAAATTTTATTAGTCTAATTATCAAATTATTGTATTTTATAAAAAGTGATACAAATATCATTTCTTAGAGTGATAGACACAAAACTAGCATCACACAATGAAATAGACTCGTGATAATACCTCCAGCCAATAATGAACTGCACTGGTGTACAGAAGACACATCGAAGTAACATTCCCATGTTTAAATTGTTGTATAGTTTGTAGCTTAACCAATCGCCAACAGGTGAAAACATAGGGAGTACCATAGAGAACATAAACACAGGAACCGAGAACAAACAACTCCAAAGGAACTGATTTCTGTAAGCTGTAATTTCATGATGCTGTTCTGTTTCTCTTACTCTAGTGGTTGTATACAAGCTGGCATGATATATGTTTGGACCATGACCAGCTTCTTGTATGCGTTCGATAAGTGATCTGGGACCTGTGAGATCGGGATCATAGGCAATAATTACTTTGTGGCTCCCTTCATCAATTTCAATATGATTCACACCTTCAACTGCTTCGAGGTATGACTTCATGATAGTGGCATCTTCTGAGGAATTAAGACCTTCGACTTTAAGATGCACTTTATTGAAATCATCTCCAGAGCTAATCAGATCAGCTCCAAACCCTGCATCCTCGATAGCCTCTATTAGGTGAACAGAATCTGTGACATTGGGATCAAAGTGTATCTTGGCTTCTTCGAGAGCAAGGCCAACTATGGCCTTTTTAACACCATCAACCATAAGGAGTGCTCTCTCAACTGATTCAGAACAGCTTGTGCAGGCCATTCCTTTGATTCGAAGTCGGCATACAGCAATCTCTTGATCTGGAAATTCATCAACTTCAAATTTTAAGTCTCCTATGGCGTCTTTGATTCTTTTTGCCTTGGGATAAAGAAAAAACATTATTAACAAATATAGAAACAGAGCACAAAGATAATGTTAATGATTTTAGTAATAAGAAAATAGATACCACTCACAATCAGCATGTAAGGAGAGGACCTGAATCATCGCATTTTGCATATTTCAATTCATAACAAACGTAATTATATTTTACGGAAAGATAGGTTCCAAACCACAAAAAGAGTGGATCAAAATCAGGCAAATGAATCCAGACGGTGATCACGTTACAACCAAAGTCCATGGATCAGTATATTATGGATCATCATAATATTATCATAATATTTAAGCTTAAAAGTACAAAAGTAAAACTTCTTTCCCAACTTACATTGATAAATTCAGGGTTGTATCTTATAATTGCTTGGCCGTGAAGAGGAGATACGGAGATGCTCTCGACTCCCTTCATATCCCCCACCACTGATTCTATGGACACTGCACAAGAAGCACATTGGATTTCACGAATTCTTAACACAACCTTCCTGGTCTTCTTGTCGCTTTCAGAAGACTCATGCGAAAAATCAACAGCAACACTTCCGTTGGGTTGTAGAAGCGGTGCTGTTAGATTAGCCTCCCCGATCTGCTCCATCTTGCTTCAGCTGATAGCCTGATTCAAAATAACTTCAAGAACCAGTTCCATACGAAGATAAATATACGTAATCTGAATATTAACGAAGAAACAAAACCACACGAACATAGAAAGATAAGAAGACCCATGTCGACGCCAATTAAATCTTTGACTTGTAAGTACAAGAATCCGAACACAAGTCACAACAGTACATTGTGGGGCAACAAATTAATGCAATGCTCTAACACAAAGTAATCCAAGAAGGGTAGGAGGGCTATGAATATAAATCAGGCAAACACTTTTCAGTTCTTGTGAGCCGTTCCCTAAAAGTGACTATGAAACGGATAATAAAGAAAACACCATGCAGTTGCTTTCATTTAGTTCAAAACCATTACCGAAACCAATTCTCAAAACTGTTCCTACAGTTCAAATATTGAGATTCTCATCCCTCGTTTCCAAGAAAACCATGCCGATGACCAAAACCTATTTGGTCGAGGTAAGACGAAACATCAGCGAAACCCTAATGGCTTTGTACTCTTATTCCGAAAACCTCAACCGGTAACGACCGTACTCTACTCGACATAAACCGATCGATTGTGGAGGACAAGGAAGCCAACACGGAATGCACAACCAAGAATCTGAGACCGGACAGGAGATAAAAGAGAGGACACTTGGAAAAAGCGGACGGCATGGCTGATTCGAACCCGTGCGATTTGGCGGAGCGAGAGTAAGGAAGACAGGCGACGGCGGCTACGGCTCTGAAAGGTCTTCGGGTCTTTGGATTTGGAGCGGCGAGAGGAAGAGATAAGGGAGGACGGGAAGAGAAGAGACGAGAGACGAGGGTGAGAAAGAGGAAGAAGACGACCAGAACATTGCCGACGGTCGTTCTCTCTCTCTCTCTCTTCGTGCGAACCGCCGTAAGCCCATAAAGTTTGACTCGAACTTCCCCCCTTTTCTATTGCTATTTTAACTATATTATCAAAATTACTTATGTGTCCCTTTTAATTTTACCGTATTATCTATCCCCAAAAAAATTATAAACTTGTATGTATATATACCTATATACGTTTGTATATATGTTTTTTATATTTATATTCTCATTTCTCTTCTTGAAAATTATAAAATTAGATGTTTCATATTTTTGATTTAATTTTAACAATGATAATCAAATTCATATTCAAGTTATCAAATACAATTTGTGGTCAAAGAAACATTTGCCTACAATTAGTGCATCACACAAGGCTGCCAACTAGATTGAACAGACCAAAATATCTCCATTATTTTAGTAATAATAGAATTTTTTTTTTCAATTCAATGTATTTTTTAATCATTTTTTTAAGTTAATCTATTGATTGTACTGTGGAGATCAGCACACAAAAAAGAATAAATGGCCAATTTTCTCTCCAAAAAAATAGAATTATAATGCCGTTAATACACTGATTGTCCTCAAACATGCTCAAGAGGAAAAAATATATCTCATAAGACTTGTAGTGTTTCATGCAGGACCTAAATCCTTTGGCATCAACTTCAACAAATATCCTTTCCTTGCTTAGACAAATGTAATCGCATCTCTATTTTCCTAATTTGAAGGTTTGACCGACCAACATAGATCTTGTTATTATCGGATGAGGGACATCAAAGTTTGACTTCACTTTAAAAATTTTTGTTATTAAGTATTGTCGATCAAACAGACAAAGATTCTTGCACAACCAAAACTCGATTAAGCTAACCTTTGAAGGTTATTAATATCTAAGGTTCGTCGTATCGTATCATACTGACGTTTCGACTCAGGCTTGATATGGTACGGTACCGGTGTACCGAGCGGTACATCAGGGCGTATCGAACAGTACACCATGATGTACCGAACAATTATATATTTTTTCATACTGTAGCAGCGCTACAGTATAATACTGTAGCACTGTAACGATACCGGACGGTCCGCGTACCGATAACCTGTCGGACCGGTACATACCGCCCGTACCGGGCGGTACGCTTCGATATGATAGACTTTGATTAATATTAACATCAGGAGCTAATTAGTTCGATATTAGATTTTAAAAAAATATTATTATTATATATGATTAGTAAAAAAATATTCTAATAATATTTTTTATAAATATGAATTAAAAAAAAAACCAAAATTAACGAATCCATCCATGATATTTAATAGGTTTGATCGTCCTAGTCCAGATAATATCAATATTTTAAATTAAGAGAGTTAATATTAATCATGATTAGGAGCAAGTAATACAATCTTGTTGTAGACATAGGAAATATCTCATGATTATATATATATAATGCAAAAACGAGTTCGGAATTCCAACGGTGGGAAAGAGGAAGGAAGAGTGGGAACAGCACAATATGGTGGAATCCAACGAGGATTCCAACGAGCAGAGGAATCGTCTTTAGCCCATAAATTGTACGTTAAAAGATGGCGGTCCAATGCACGCCATTTGTACATACAAACAAAGGACTCATCCATAACTTTGCACGCCAATTGATTCATTGCTTTGTTTCTGATATTGACAGCTTACTTGTTGCAGTCGTTCGAGATTGGCCATCTGATGTACCACTGAGTGGTGTTAGATTAGCTACCAAGGATCTAAATCCATTTCAATTTTGATTGGTATATCTATTCTATATTCACATCTACCTATTAATTTCAACTTTATTTATATATTTTGTACCCTAATTTATTATTCGAGTACTTATTAATCCTATAATTGAGCATTACTATGACTTATTATGGAGATGATCGGAGTTGATCAATCTTAACCGAAGATGAAAATAAATCTTCAGGTTTAGATTAATCTTTCTTATATTTTTGTTAAAAAAATAATGTAGATGAAAGAGTCCATATTGAAAATGCTCCGGTTGGAACTTCGACTTTCTTTTTATAAGAGAAATTCATTACCAGCTTTCGATAAAGATCCTTTCAATGATTAAAGCAATCTAATAAATATTTTAAAATAGATTAGAGAATGATAAAAAATATTTCATTGACCAATCATTATCTAACACGTAGTCTCCACGTGGAGTCTAGGTTGAAAGTGTTGAATCTCGAATTTTGATGATGAAATCAATTAATGAGTTTAATGAACTAATATATTTTTGAGATAAGTAACACAAAAAATACTTTGATCACAGTCTTAGATCATCGAATGATCAACTATCGAGCAAGAGAGGCGAACGTTACATCGAGAAATTATCGTGCCGAAAATTAGACGTTGAGCTAAAGGATTGATCGATATACTGGAGATCGGACTTCGTGCTATAGGTTCGACATCGTGCTGGAAGGATTATATATTACGTCAAAAGATAAGATATCGTGGAAAAGTCAATATGCTGATAGAATGGGTGATATACCGAAAGAAATGATGATGTGTCAAAGGTTCCAATTATAGATAATTTGTCAAAGTCTTGATCAAAATTATTTTGGGTTAATTGGAGTTGGTATTATATCAAAACAATGCCAACTTATTAAAAAAGTTATTGAGCTTGAAGTTAGGTTGAACTAGACCCGTTAAAAGGCTAAACTAGTAGCCTAAAGTAGGCTTAGGTGATGATACTACAAGCCCACGCGGTGGTACAACCTGAGTAAATAAATAAGCACTATTTATGTTTATCAGTCTATGGAGGCAATAATACTACCTATAGTAGTGATAATACTGTTTGGAATTTAAATTTTGCAATAGTAGTACCATCGAAGCCCAAAATTACGATGTCAAAACTTACAATGGTAGTATCGCCCAGTGTCAACGGTACTACCGCTCATACCCTGAAATTTCAATAATTTAAAATTTTCAGCATTATTCTTGAAGCCTTTTAAGGCCTATGAATATCACACTTAGGTTTGATTGATGGAGTATCTACTCTTGAGTTTGTGAAGTATCGTAACTCTCTATTTGAGTATTGTTTAAGTCTCTTCCTCTTTCATAAGTTTAGTTGTGATACTAAGTTATAAGAGGTAAAAGATCTCTTGTAAAAGAGTGAGTAGAGGTTTTCTCCTAGGCCTGAAAAAAAAAAGTTGTAACAAAAGTAGTTAATCTTTACCTATTAGAAAGAAGATTGGTTGTGAAAGTTTTGACCATTACCAGAGCTACTAACGTACTCTCTGGTTCTTATGATATCTTCCTGATTAATCTCAAGTCATTCATACCATAGTCATCGATTGTTAAAACCTACAAGATATTAATAAAAAAATAATAATGCAACTCAATTATTAAGACCTACAGGATAATTGAGTAGTGCGTTCCATGCTTTTATAGATATTAATAGTCTACATGACTCATGACTTGGGCTATGATACCACAACTTATAATAATCTACTCTTAGTCCCACGTATACCAGATATGCATAACTAAAGTAGGATATCACTTTCTAGTTTTTTAACTACTATCAATAAAAATATAGATAATCTTAAAAGTAAAATATGTAAATTTAATAAACAAAAGATTTTTGATCATTGGAGTTGACTATTTTTATGAAATGAGGGGAGGCGAAGCTACTAGTGTTGATCATTGAGAAGCAGGTCGAAGGATTTATATGGAAGAATATTATCACCCGCTTTGAAATTTTGAGAGTCATAATCACCAACATTGAAACTTAATTTAACAATATGAAGTTTAAAATGTTTTGTCAATCCTATGGAGTTCAACTAAAGTTCAGCTCGGTAGCTCATCCTTACATTAATAGTTTTACCAAGATCACCAACCAAACTATTCTTGAAGGGTTAAAGAAGCGGATCATTGGAGCAAAAGATAATTGGGTGGACGAGCTACTGAGTATCTTATTAGCCTTCTGAATGACACCTAAGACTATGTCGAAAGAGTCACCATTTAGCTTAGCCTTTAGCACCGAGATATCCTGTCACTTGAGATAATCTTTCTAATACTTCAATTTGAGAATTTTAATAAGAAAATCTTTGAAGGACTTTAGGCAAACTTAACCTAATCAGCAAGGCCAGAGTAGAAGCACAACTAAGGATATTGAGATACAAGAAAACGATGGCCAAGCTTTATAATCGAGATGTTTACTATGGGGAAATCAGATTAAAAATACTTGGTGCTTTGAAAAGCTAAAGTCAATAACTTAATTAGACTTGGGTAAACTAGCACTAAATTGGGAAGGGTCCTATCGAGTTATTTAGATCATTTGAGATAAAACCTATCACCTCGAACCAATAGAGGGGTGTTGCCAAGGACATGACACATTGTAAACTTAAAGACGTCTTACCCTTGAGGCATCTCTCGAGATTGGATTGGGATGATTATGTCTTAAATATTAAGCCTTGGTTTACCATGTCTTTTGTCACATCCCAGATTTAAAAAAAATAATAAATTAATATTTTATTATCCATAATTTATATAATAAGCTCTTTTCTTTTTCTTTTACCTTCGTCCTTGAATTCAAATTCTTGTCTTTACAATAGTAAATATTCTATTAACTAGAAAAATGACCATATCTTCTTGGTAGGGTCACAAGTCACTTCCATCCAAGCTTTAGATTTATTACAAAGTAGTAGATTACTCTAAAAATAAATATAAGATAAAAACATATCAACAACCATACATGCTGATAGAAACCTCAAAAAAATCATTAAAAAATCTTCAATATTCATGAAATATAAATAAATATCAATAATTTAATAAGAAATAATAATAAATCGATTCATCATAAAACTTATGCATAAGAAAAATGATTATAATTTCTTACAAAATAAATAAAATGATACATCAGCCATATGCAACGCATATATAATAACAAAGGCGCATCACCCGATGATGCACTCTCCCAATAGCGGATGTAGAGACATATTTCACATGATGGATTCCTCCCAACAACGGATAGAGATAAACTATATCGCACTCCCAATAGCGGATGG